ATCTTAGTACTAAAATCTACACTACAACAGTGCGGAAAAAATATTATCACTGATTTTATTGGTGACAAAGTGTTGGGATCACACCTCCATTTCACAACATCAGATTTGGAAAAAATTCTTAGACACTTTAATAGTGCTATTCAAGCTCAAAAGCTTATTGTTATGAATGAAACTGGGATATCTAGTAGGGAATGGCATAGATTTAATGGGCATCTCAAATCACTTATAACAGAACAAATAGTAGCTATAGAGCGTAAGAGTCTTGAAACTATACGAATAAATGATTATGCTGGGTATATAGTTACAAGTAACCAGGATGCTCTACTCAAAATAGACATAGGTGATTCTCATATAGTTTGTTTTGATGTCTCTGCATGCTGTAGGGGTAATATAGCATATTTTGATTGGCTAGAAGAAATTCTAAACCATTCTGATGCACCAGGAGTAGTAATGTCATATCTTTTTAGCCGTGACTTATTAAATTGGAGTCTAGAAAAAATTCCTACAACTAAAATGAAGATAGAAACAATGCAAGAGCAACTTCCTAATCCTATTTGATTTATTATTAATTATATTGCATCTTGGCCTAAAAATTGTATTAGCAGGTTTAGCTGTGAAAAGGTATACCAGAATTATATTGAATGGTGTGGGTGTAATGGGAAAAGCTATTAACTAGTAAGGTTGCTGGAAAGAAGTTTTCACAAATTAGCATTGATCGGGTATGTTTACGAGATAATAGAGTAAGAGTTTATCAGTATATTCTTGATCATCCAAAAATCATAGCCAAGCTCTGTGAATCTGGCTTAGATGATATCGAAAATTTTCTGATATACCTCAAGACAACTTACCTGAAAATGGGACAGCAGATATACCTATATTCAATGTGCCAGAAATTATTCCTTCAAAAATAATCCTACCTCAGGTAAAAAAGAATCTCTCTTCTAGTGATAAGAAAGTAGATAAACAGAACAATATAACCCAAGCTCTTTTTGACTATGTAGTAGGAAAAGCTGAAGCACCAGTTGCTTCAACATCTAGAACTTCTGAAACTTCTAAGACATCTAACCTACCTGAGCCAAAAATTGTTGAGCTGTCTCAAAAGGACCAGCTTGAAACTAGCAAGCTTTCTGAACCTATTGAGCTTATAAGTAAAGTGGTGCCTGATACGTCTTCTAAAGAAACTGTTTCTTTCAAGCCTATCAATGAAGTATCATCTGCCATACTTATAAGCAGGGCCTAGCATAAAGAGCGCTTTAGAAAATGGGCCACCAATCATGGTAAGAACCCAGACATATTCATAATCATCACAGAAAAAGATGTTAGATTGTCCCAGGAATATCGAGACAGAATGATATCAGATGCGGATGCCATTGAATTTGCGAAAAAAGATAGTATAGACGTAAATAAGATATTTTATATGTCCAGAAGAGAAAAGACTAATAAGTGAAGAAATATACCTCCGTAGCTTTGAGGATGCTGGAAAACCCTGGACATATGTTTATGACAATAAGGAGTAGCAAAAAGGTATTAGCGTACTCTAAGAGAATGGTTATCTATGGTAGGTTCGATATCAATGAGGAATGGCCAAAAAATATAAGCATACTTCAGGAGAATAGTATGTTTTGGTAAAGAGCAAATTATTATTATTATTTTTTTGATTTAAAAAATAACTAGATTAATATATAACTAGATAACACTTACTATCAACATGGCTACTAAAACAGCTACTCTAAAAACCCAAAAACCTAAAGCTAATAACTTTGTATTGGTCTTAGAGCAGTTCCTAGAAAAGCATAATCTGATGGCCAACTCCACTCCAGAACAATTAAGCGAACATGCTTCCAAACTTGATGCTTTACTTTCTGATTGGATGGCCCGCAGGTGTGTTAAAATTACCCTTGCCAGAGGCACTGATAACAGATGCTCATTTAGTAAAGAGCAGATAGAGGCTCTCTTACCAGATAAGAGAAAAGGAAAACTCACCATAGAGAAAAGGACAAAATATTGCGCTAAAATCGGTGATGCTATGGACATTTTCACCTATCATTTAGATTTAGGCCCAAAAAATGATTATGAAAATGAAATAGTCACCAGTGATTCATGCCAGTCACAATTTCGTGTGAAATTAACAGAAGGCGGGGTAAGTTCTGAAATTATTAATATCTATGCCAAAGATCCAAAACTTATTCAAGAGTCAAATAAAATTCAGAAAAAGCAAACTAAGAAATGAATAGCTAATCCGGATAGAATTCCAATATATTTCTCATTAGCGAGGGTGCTTAAAAGGATTCAGAATATGGATGTTTCTAAAATTCTATCTAGAGAAGATCTTGCAGATGTAATTGTGATGTTGAGTATAAGACCTGCAGAAGTATGATCTCTTTAAATTAATCACTATGAACCGGATCCTTTGAGTATTCTAGTATGGTATAAAGAAGGTTATTCTTGGTACTGTATAGGCTATTTAAAAAGTAGAGGAGAAAAGAAAAAGAATCCCGAGCCCTGACCATTTCTTTCTATGAAGAAAAATCCAGAACGCACAAAGGAATTGCTTACCTAGATTCAAGATACAATTAAGACTAAAAAGTTATCTGACCCTGTTTTTACTAGAAATGAAACACATAATGCTTGGCCATTTAACGAGTTCTTAAAACAAGAACCTTATAGAACTATACCTAAAAAATTAAGAGATTATGGAAGTAAACATGCTTTCAGAATCCATGGTGGTAAGAAACCAACACCCCAACATCTTAAACTGCTTTCAAGAATCATAATAAGGCAAGAATCAGACCGCCTTGATGCTATAGGTGATACAAAATTAGAAGAGTCTAACTTCGAACCAGAGACAAACAACAGTTTAAACCCCTAAACACAGGCTTCTTTGTCATCTCAAACAATAGAAATGGATTCAATGTTAGCTGAAATTAATTGATGCAATGTTAGCTGAAATTCAGAAATAAATATCAGAAGAAGGGCCAGAAAGTGATCGCTTGTTTAGAGAACTTTCGCTAGACCTCACGTATGTGAGACTCGAGTTATTCACAGTTTTCTTAATACTATTCTCCTTTTTTTTCGAAAGCTCAAAAAAAGATATATAGTTAACTGTTTCAGAAACAAAAAATCTATAAAGTGTATATCTCTTCTCTTCACTAATCATTTACGATAGCCAGTAGATCGATCGGTCCTTGGCTTATACTAAATAATTCATGAATAAATAGATCACCAAATCCAAAATTGTTTTTTTAATCTGCAAATTAGGTTTGTTAGTCATGAGGAATAAATTATATAAATAAGCTAAGTATAAGAAATTTTGCTCTTGAATATAGCTACTAACTCCACGCATCTAAATATCACATATCTTGAAATACTTGCATTAAATGTTCTTAAAAATTCATTTCCAGAAAAAATTGCAAGTGATATTAATATACCTGAACTAGATCCATGTTCATTATGCAACCAAGAACTTTTTTTATATGAAATAAAAAAACTAATTACTTTACTTACCTGTGGCCACTTATATCATCGTGATTGTATCGAAAGTTCTATTAAAATTAGTCTAAAATGTCCAAAACCTGGTTGTATGAAGGAAATAGAATCTATGGTTAAAACGCCCAGAAGTCAGGATATCGATTTAATGGAAATGTCACCTACGATATTTAAAAGCCCTCTGTTTACTCAAAATGATACATTAAAAAAGTGTACTAATAATCCCAAATTATTTCCGGATAAACCATCTAACAAAAAAGCAAAGAAGCTGGTTAAAAAAGAATCACATATATTAAGAAATCTTATAAATAAATTATCTACCGAACTCGAAACTTTGCAAGTTTCTGTAATTAGAAAAGAAAATGCAGATAATTTTATCGATTTGTATAATAATATAACCTATGCAGAAACCCAAAATGAAATTACAAATCAGGATGTTATAACCTGCTATTATTTTCTCGGTAAAGCACTTAAAGATAGGTATAATTACTATAAAAAAAGTAATCCTAAGCAAATGGCTCAGGCCTTAGTTAATAATGATATTAGGTCACAACTTCCAAACTCTGTTAGTGATGATTTACTTCGAAAGGAAAAAGAATAGGCTTTGAAGATTTATGATCTGTTTAGTGAAATTGGCATAGAAAAGATTCAAAGAGTTAAATCTCTTATGGTATCATCAATATCAAAATTAAGTCAAGATGAAATCGATCAAATATTGGTTAAATTTGCAAAATAAATATTTACTGCGCCAGTATCATGTGACATTGTGAACTTAGTTCACAATCTATACGCCTATATAATAAATTCTTTATCGTTATCTTTTTTAAACATTGTCTATATAGCCCATTTTTGGATAAATAAATTAAAATTTTGATACATACCGGTAGCCTTTACTAAAAAATCTCTTACCAAATAATCACAATCTTGTTTGTAAGACAGGGCACTATAGCAGGTTTGTATAAAACATTTTAGCCACGTACATAATATTTTTTGTTATATATAACAATGAAAAAAC